GATTTACTTTCCTAATATGAAGGTCATGAGTCAACACGGCCATGCCAAAGAGTGGGACTCACCCCTGAGCACTCAGTCCCCAGCCCCTCAATACGCCCAGCTTGAAACATCAGAGCCTGCTCTGAAATGAGGGGAGGATCCCTCTGCGATGCCTCAAGCTTGGTTCCTTTGTTCCAGTTCAGGAGCAAGGTGGGGGGGGGGGTCCAGGAGATTTCATATGGCTTTCAAAGAAGTTTGGCACATTCACAGGGCAGCATTGTATAGACAGGAACCTAGGCTTATGAGGTAGTCTGCAGTACAATACCTTCTTTTAAGTTTCCTGTCTTCAAACTGTGAGCTAGCTACTGACCTCTCGGAGCCTCTGGCGGCCTATCTTTAAATGGGAAGGATACATTACTAAGCCATGCATAGGTAAATAGTAGGCTGTGGGTAGGAAGTAGCAAGTGTCTAATTCAGCCAAGTTTTGTAACAAACAGCCCCAGGATCTGTGTGAATCAGCTGTGCTGCTCATCAGCCACTTAGCTGTTTGGAACCAGCCTGATGAGGCTGACTCCTGAGACCGGGAGAGGCCTTTGACCTTCAGTTCTCTCTCTCTCTCTCTCTCTCTCTCTCTCTCTGACTCAGGCAGACCCTTTTGAAAACACGAGAGCCAGGTGAGAAATGGAGGCAGGTGGCATGCGCTTTCCACACCCCCATTTAAAGTCAGGGTCTCAAGTCACCCAGTATGGCCTCAAATTCACGGTGAAGGCACAAATGGCATCGAACTTCAGTGATAAAACATCAGGACTAAGGCAACTTAAAGAAGGGGTTTGTTTGGGTTTAGGGTGCCAGAGGGATAAGACAGTCATGGCAGAGTGTGGCAGCCATGGTGGCAGGAGCTGGATGTTGAGAGAGCTAACTGGAAAGAGCACCAGTTTTAAACTCTCAAAGCCCGCCTCCAGTGACATCCGTCCTCCAGCAAGGCCACACCTCCTTAAACCTCCTCCAAATAGCACTGGCAACTGGGGACCAGTTCCAATACATGAGCTTATGGGGAACATTCTCAGTCAAAGCAGCACAACTTCGGGTCCGCTTGCCTTCACTCCTGCATGCTGGGATCACAGGTGCGCGCCACCTTCTCCACTTCAGTGGTGGCCGGAATGGAGCCAGGGCTTCGCGCATGCTAGGCAAGTGCCATGACAACCAAGCCACCTCTTCAATCAAACCAGAACAGTACCTGGAAGAAGGCAGCACATGTCTCCCTGACTGTGCTCTGATCCTGAGAATAAAGCCTTCACCACAGAGGTGAAGCTGATGAGATGTCTCTGGATAGCAGGGTACACCAGGAGAGTTCCGGAAGCCCTCCCCACACTCATGTCTCTGGGCCTTTGCACATACTCCTCTCTCTGCTAGGAATGCCCCCGGCGGCCCGATGCTGGTGAATTCCACCTGTCCTCCAGCTGAGCCGCCCCTCCTGTCAGCTCTGCCAACCCTGCCAGCCTTTCCGCCATGCTCTGAGCATTCTTTGTTCCTTGCATGGCTAAGCTTTTGGATGGCAGGTGGCATCTGAACCTCTAAAGATGCCTTTCAGCCAAAAGAGATTGATTGGCTTTTGTAACTGCAAAGGCCAGGGGTATGATTGCAAGGTACTCTCTCACTCTCTTTTCTTTCTATCTCCCTCCCCTCCCCTGCCCCCTCCCCTGCCCCCTCCCCTCCCCTCCCCTCCCCTCTCCTCTCTCTCCTATTCTCTCTGTGTGCATTTGTGTCTGTGCTGTGCCTCAGTCTATCTCCCTGCTCTGCCTCTGTCTCTGCTTTGCTCTGTTCTCTGTCTGAGCCTCATTCTCTCCAACTGCAAACAGGGAAGAAGACTGTCCATAGAGGCAAACCTCACCCCAGCCCCCAGCCCAGCTTCTTAGCAGAAAGACATTCAACTCTTCTCTACAATGTTTGTGTGCTGGACCAGGTGAGTGATCCTTATGGCCCTGCATGTGGACCATTTCTATTCCTCACTCTATCACCGAGGCCAGAAAATTCCTCACTGTGAATGGTGCAACCAAGGTCATGACACACAGCTCCAAGCTGAGGTGATTGTGGTTGGAATTGGCAGGAATGTCTGAGCTGGTAAGTCCCCTGCTGATGGTTAGTGCTGGCTGTGTTCTGGAGAGTTCAGTTGTGCTGGAGTCCAGAGGACCTTTATGAAGCCCTTTCCCATGGCTCATGCTTCTTCTGATGGTGGCTAGAAACCCCTGGGGGACTGAGTCAAGGTCCAGACCTAAGTGTAGCTGCATACCTTCTTAAGATCTTGCTACTTGCTGTTGTCCAGAACTCAGGCTCCACCTAGCAGCAAGGGAGTCTTGTGCCCTTGCTGCTGTTAAGCAGCACTTGATGTCTGTCCACGGAGAGCTGCAGCTGACTCTCAGGAGAGGTGTGATGGAGATTGCCCAGAATGTAGCAGAGGCGGCCAGGTACATCCAACATGATGCTGTGTGTGTTGAAAGGGAGGGTTGGAGATTTAAACGCCAGTCATCTGGTACTTAGAACATGGTTCAGTGTCTTCACCATGGCAACAGGGTTCACCTTCTTCTCATTTCATACCTTTGCTTTCTCCTGGCAACCACTAGAATAGCCCTACTGACCTTTATACTTTTTCTTAGGCCTCAGGGCCTTTGCATCAGCTTGTCTTCTCTTCCAGAGTGATTTGCTCCACTAACTCTCTCTCTCTTTCTGTCATCTTTCTGGTTGCCAAGATACTTCCTTGACCACTCATTTTGAGGCAGCTTATCCCTCCAGTCTAGATGCTCTCTGTTTTGCTTCCTGAATAAACAGCGGGGAATAAAGCTGTCTGGTTTTGAAATTTAATTATTATGACTAGTGTGTGTGTGTGTGTGTGTGTGTGTGTGTGTGTGCTGAGAATTGAACCCAGGGTCTCTTGCAAGTTAAGAACAGGCTCTACTACTGAGATACACCCTCGGCCCAAAACTGCTTACTTTTTGTCTCTTCTTAGAATCCAAGCCCAGATGGGAAGGGGTGTATCTGTAATTCTCCCTATGTGCCCAGGGCCTAAGCAGGATCTATAGGTCATAGTTCTGCCCCAGACATGGGCAGCAGCGTTGTGTCCATTGGGAAACAGCCCATTGTTGAGCTGGTGATGTCCTGCCTCTCTATGCAAACCCCTTCATTCTGTGACATGCATACGTCACGCCCCTCCCATCAGCCACTGCTTCATGGTGGTTAGATGGATGGATGGACCTGCAGAGTTCCAAAGTGTCTAAGAACAAATATGAACATGTGCATTGAGCAGATACCAGATTGTACGCCTAAAAGCTCAGAGGTATCTGTTTGTATCTGCATGTGTCTTACCCATCTGTCTGTCTGTCCACGTATCTATATTAGGACTTCATACCTAATAGTTGCTCAATGACTGGCTGAACTTTGAGCCTATGCCCAACAATCCCAGTTCTTCTCCAGTATCACAAGAGGTTCCTCTCCAGGATGTCAGGACCAGGCTACAGGTTAGCTCAGGTTTGGGAATTCCCACCTGATCCGCCGGGCCTTATGGTGACTGATCTTTCTTTGGAGTGGTGCTGTTGCCTCAAACATAGGTCAGTCGTGGAGGACGCCCAAAGCGGTAGGAGCCATGGGCAGAGGTGAGCAAGGGCAAACTGATGAGTCTTCCTGTGTGCGCAGCCTCATGGGGGAACTTCCCAGCCAGGAGAAATGGTACTATATCAGCACCCAATCACAAAGCAGAGCCTAGAGGCTGGGATGATGACACCACAACTAATTCAGAGACAAGGCCACTGGTGGCAGAGAGGAGAGGCAGGCCTGTCCAATTTGTGCTCGGGCACTGGGACAGGTGGTTTGTCTATCTTGCCCAGCAGAAAGCCCGGAGCAAGAAAGTTAAAGGGGAAAGGGGTGTTTAAGGTTCAGAAGCGAGTGCTCATGCAGAGCTGGTTAAAGGCATCTGGGTGGAGGACAAGCAGCCGGAATAGGAGGCAACACCTACAGGAGCCGTGCAACCGTCACTGGCAACTGAGCTCAGCACCACCAGGGACACGGGAATATCACGGGAGACTTGGTGTTTGAGAGACATGCTAAGGCTGGGGAGCACGGCTGGGGAGCACTGCTGTCTATTCAGGTTTCCCCCACTGTTTACCCTTCCCTCTCCAGTTTGGACTTTTTTCTGGCTTTAGTGTCTGGGAAACCCTGAGTCAACAGCCCCCTCCACCCCTTCCCCAGTAGACTGAGCATATCCAGAATCAGGAAAGGAGGTGTGGCTCCAAGACTAGGGTTGGTGGGGGTCTCAGGTGGGCGTTAGGGAGGAGGCAGGTACAGGGGTCACTGTCCCTCGGGCACCTTCTGGGGGAACTCCCCAGAATAGACCTCATTGTCTTTCCTGGGAGAAGAAAACAAGAATCAACCAAGTTAAGTAGGGAATTCAGGGTCCTATGACCCAGAATAGGGTTCAGGATGTGCTGTGACATCTATGGTCGCCCTCCTATCCCTATCTCTCTGGTTTGTCTGGAGCCACCGAGTCCCACCTCTCCTCCACTTGTCTTTACAAACGTGGCCTGAGCCAGAGGTAGTTCGGAAGAGGCTCCTGGTGATGGGGGGAGGGGGGAAGTGCTGTTTCCCGAATTCCGGACAGGGGTGTAGCCCTGGGACCCCTCTTGGACCTCTGGAGTCAGAAGACGACGACGCTGAGAGTCACGACGCCAGGGCACAGGTGGGAGGGCGCGCGGGCGGCAGAAGCGCGGCTGATAGGGGCGGGCGCGCGGGACCTGGCAGCCACCGCACCGCAGAGATCGCCCGGTGCCCGCGGCTCGGGCCCTCCGCCCCCTTGGGCTGCCGCTCTGAGCTTCTCTGGGAACCAGACGCAGCGGCAGCGGCCGCCCGGCGCTCTACCGCCACAGGATCACAATCCGGGCGGCCCCGCGGGCACCGGTCGCTCTTGCCCCATCGCGGGGACCAGAGGTGCGGGTGAGGTGGCCACCACTCCGAGATCCCGTACAGCACAGGGTGAGCGCCCCTCGGGACCGGTCAGTTGCAGGGTCCGCCGCACCCCCTGGGGTGCCAGATGGGGCTTCCCGGGGGTCGCAGGGTCGAAGTTGGGTCGACCCGCCAGCGTTTTGCAGAACGACATGCTGCCGCCTGGGCGCAATGGCACCGCGCGTCGGGCGCGGCTGGGGATGCCGCGGCAGCTGGCGCAGGCTGGCGCCCCGGGGGGCTCGGCGGCCCTGCTGGGACCTGCGCAGGTGATCACTGCCGGCCTCCTGACTCTCCTTATCGTCTGGACCTTGCTTGGCAATGTGCTAGTGTGCGCAGCCATCGTCCGCAGCCGCCACCTGCGCGCCAAGATGACCAACATCTTCATTGTATCTTTGGCGGTCTCAGACCTCTTCGTGGCATTGCTGGTCATGCCGTGGAAGGCCGTGGCTGAGGTGGCTGGGTACTGGCCCTTTGGAGAGTTCTGTGATATCTGGGTGGCCTTTGACATCATGTGCTCCACTGCCTCTATCCTGAATCTGTGTATCATCAGTGTAGACCGCTACTGGGCTATCTCCAGGCCCTTCCGCTACGAGCGAAAGATGACCCAGCGCGTAGCCTTGGTCATGGTGGGCCTGGCCTGGACTTTGTCCATCCTTATCTCCTTCATCCCGGTCCAACTCAATTGGCACAGAGACAAGGCAGGCTCCCAGGGCCGAGAGGGCCTACTGTCTAATGGGACGCCCTGGGAGGAAGGCTGGGAGCAAGAAGGGGGGACAGAGAACTGCGACTCCAGCCTGAACCGAACTTACGCCATCTCCTCCTCGCTCATCAGCTTCTACATTCCAGTGGCCATCATGATTGTGACCTACACGCGCATCTACCGCATTGCACAGGTGCAGATCCGCCGAATCTCCTCCCTGGAGAGGGCAGCTGAGCATGCCCAGAGCTGCCGGAGTCGCGGGGCCTGCCAACCTGACCCCAGCCTGCGAGCCTCCATCAAGAAGGAGACCAAGGTCTTCAAGACACTGTCAATGATCATGGGGGTCTTCGTGTGCTGCTGGTTGCCTTTCTTTATCCTGAACTGCATGGTTCCTTTCTGCAGCACCGGGGATGGCCAGGGCTCACCGGCGGGCTTTCCTTGTGTCAGTGAGACCACCTTTGACATATTCGTCTGGTTTGGCTGGGCCAACTCGTCTCTCAACCCCATCATCTATGCCTTCAACGCTGACTTCCGAAAGGTGTTCACCCAGCTGCTGGGGTGCAGCCACTTCTGCTCCCGGACCCCTGTGCAGACTGTGAACATTAGTAATGAACTCATCTCCTACAATCAGGACACCGTCTTCCACAAGGAGATCGCCGCTGCCTATGTCCACATGATCCCCAATGCAGTGTCCTCTGGAGACCACGAGGTGGGCGAGCAGGAGGAGGAGGGACCTTTTGATCACATGTCTCAAATCTCTCCAACAACCCCAGACGGTGACCGGGCTGCTGAATCTGTCTGGGAGCTTGACTGTGAGGAGGAGGTTTCCTTAGGCAAAATCTCACCTCTTACCCCCAATTGTTTCCATAAAACTGCTTAGAAACACCCTCTTGGGAATATACAGCTGCAACCACATTTGTAGGCATCCACACATGCACATACACAAATATACACACTCCCAGTGTGCATGTGCTTTCTGTAGCCCAGCTGCATAGAAACCAAATGATTCTTAGCTGAGAATATTAGCCGAGGCTGTTGAAATGCATTCAGCTATTTCGGACAAGGAAAAGTATTCCCTTCAGAGTAGAGAAAGTGGAGCCTGGTCCTTTAAGAGCACACCTTCCTAATTTAGGCTTGTCCCATGGTTTGTGTCTGGGTTGCTTTTTAAATGGCAGGTCTCTGAGTGGCAGTTGTTGGGGTGCTCTGTGGCTTTTCAGAGACTGGGGTCTGTATGTAGCACAGTGCTCTGGTGGCTTCTGTTTAGTTTCAGTTGGGGCTCTTTCCTGGGTGTGGAATCCCTTCCTGATTTGTTCTGGTTTTTAGTGAGTGCCTAGTACACGTGTTTGGGCTGGGGGGAGGGCCACCTTTGCATTGTCAGTCAGTGCTCAGCGTGGCTCCTGGAGAAATCACTCTGCACTTTTAAAAGACAGCTGGGTTTTGGAGCAGACGTTTTTTTTTTTTCTGAGCACCTTGGTTTAGGGACCATGCTGGACAAAGGCCTAGAGGGATTGCTGAATTCTCAGCTTTCCTTCTATTAGTCAGTCACCCCTCCAAGGCACCCTGAAAGCTACTTTCCCCTCCACAGTATTGGATTCAGACTTCTCAAGCCTGGCACTCAGCTAGTTTTATTTAGACTCTTGGATCTTCTAGGATCACAGGAGACAATGGTCTTGGTTGCTAGAAAGATGTGCTCAGTTCATCAGAAAGGCCACCTAGAATAACAGCCCTGCCATCTCCCATCTCCCATCTGGAGTGTTTCAGAGTGATGTGGCTTCAGTAAGCCATGCTTTCTAGGGTCTTTTTGGATGTGACAGGTTTCAAAATGCTGCAAAAGCAAAATCCTGCTTGGAAGCAGATAGTTTTACTTGTAGGCAGTCGCAAATGGAATGAACTTTAACCCACATGCAGAAAGCCAGAGGTGACAAGTGACTGGGTGAACTCATAGAGTGAGGGGCTCACAGAGGAGCCCACCTGTTTGTCTCTCGGCTTTCCCTCTCTGCAGTGAGTACAGTGAAGGGACCTTTGTTCCAGTATGATTTCATTAGACACGGATGTAAAACTGTAACAAACGTAAATGAGCTGTGCATATGTAAGTTCCTACACTCCCCTGCTTCAAAGACGGCTTCTCAAGGACAGTTCAATCAATTTTGGTTTCCTTATGGATAATTGTATTATGAGTTGTCTGAACAGTCGTGTCTTGTTTCTTGTAAAACGTTCAGTGCCTGCCACATCATGCTTAATAAATGTTTGTTGAATGAATCATTTTCTGAACAGCGAGTCTGAAAGCAAGCCTTACTCAGTGCATTGAGTCCTATGACTTTTGTCAAATGGATCTGGGATCTGAGGCCTGTGTTCAGGTTTTGACTCCTTGCAAACCCACGACTAAGCAGATCATTGGGGCACAGGCAGGGGCTGGGAAATGTGCACTGTTGCAGGATTCTGAAGGTGGCTGCATGATTCCGAGTGAGCCTATGAACCTCTCTGGGACTCACTTTCTGGATGCATTTGTAAATGGACAGATTGATCACTAACTTTTTTTTTCTTCTCTCATACATTATATCCCAACCACAGTTTGCCTTCCCTGAACTTCTCCCAACCCCCCTCCCTTCTCCCTCAGATCCACTTTCTCCATTTCCCTTCAGAAAAGAGCTTCGCCAGGGATACCAACCAATAATATCAACATTAAGACCAGGCACAGATCCCTCATATCAAGACTGGAGGAGGTAGCCCAGTATGAGGGAAAGGGTCCCAAGAGCAGGTGAAAAGAGTCAGAGACAGCCCCAACTCCCACTGTTTGGAGTCCCACAAGAACACCTAGCTACACAGTCATAACATATGTGGAGGACTTAGTGCAGACCAATGCAGGCTCCATGAGTCACTCTCTGTGAGCCCCTATGAGCCCTGCTTAGTTGATTCTGTGGGCTGTGTTCTCTTGGTGTCCTGGGCCTCTCTGGCTCCTACAATCCTTCCTCCACTTTCCCAAAGGTCTCCCTGAGCACTGCCAAATGTTTGACTGGATCACTAACTTTCAAATTGTGTTTCATGATGCAGATGATTACAGGCAGAGTCTGAGAAACACAGAAAACTGGGGTTTGATGCTCATTTCCCCTATAGGGCTCTGGAGAGCCTATTTTGAGCGCTCTGAATCCCAAATGTGCGAACATCATTTCCCAGCCTTTTTTTCTCTTTGTCCCTGAGAATCCTTGTTGGCTTGGATTCCTACTTTCTGGAGAAACTTTGAAATTTAGAAGCTGAAGGACAACTATTCCAGCCTATAGAACAAGCTGTGGTAAGCCAACATGAGCGGCAAACAGCTCAGTTAAAAGAGGTCTGTGTTACGGTAAACCCATCTTGTGAGGGCCATGAAACTTCCCTCTCTAAGATATCATTCCTCCTGTGTAGTATTTCCATGTCACACATGCTCAGAAGGGTCTTACACACTGGGAATACAGTCTTCTGTCAGATTCTCTGCTGTCGTGGACCCTGGTATGAGTGGGCTCAGGTAAGTTCACATTGCATCTCCTTGGACCATTCCACCCATGACATTCATCAGACAGTGGTAATAGCTGTGACACACACGAGAAAGAAAAAGCTGTGGCTGCTTGAACTTTGTGGCTGTCACGTTCCTGAGAGTTGGTGCTTTAGTTAGGCCGTTTTACAGTTGCAGATGTGAAGACACGGGGCAGGTGAAGCAGCCTGTCTGCGCTCACACAGCATAGGAATAGGAGACTGAGAGTTGAACCTAGGAAGACTGGTCAAGGGGGGGGGTGTCTTTACTTCTGTGTGTGTGTGCATGTGCATGTGTGTGTTCTGTGTTATGCACATGTGTGTTCAGGGGTAATTGTCTCTGTGTTGGGGGGTCAGAGGCTGACATTGGTGGGATACCTTCTTCAATTGCTTCTCCTAATTTTTGTTAGCGTTGCTCACTGAAAATAAGGAGTTGATTTGACTGGACTGGTTGACTAGTGAGTCCCCAGGAGCCTTCTGTTGCAGATACTCATGATTTTGTGTCGGTGCTGAGATTCTAAACTCAGGTCCTCATTCCTGCAGAGCAAACATTTTACCCACAGAGCCATCTTTCTGTTCTCAGGGCCTTGACTGTCCTTCATGGGAAGAGGGGCTTCTAGGAAGCTCAAACTATTCAGCTCTTAGCTCCCTGGATCATTTATTCATAAGCAGAGCATCCCAGTTGGCAGACTGTGTCCCTGTTCCAAGCTAGAAAGAGAGTGCAGTGGATGAGGCAGCCCTTGGATGGGCCATGGGTGGCCCATGGGTGGACCACATCCTTTCTTAGACTGTCTTTTGGCTTTCCTAATTAACCTTAAATATTACGACTTTCCCATTTTACGGATGAGGACACTGAGGCACAGAGACCTTCAGTGACTTATGAAAGGTCATATGACAGGTAAGTGTGGAACCCAGAGTTTATATCTGGTTCTCAATGGGGGGGGGTGCCTCCTCCCAGCACTGTAGGCAGTAGGATATGAAGAGCCGTTTTCCCCAGAAGCTCTACTTTTCAGCGCCTTAGGGAGACCCAAGCAGAGGGGCACGCCTTCAAACAGGTGGTCCTGTGACCTGGTCTGGAGGTAAATTCCTCTCCATGTTTTCCCTCTGTGTTCTTCAGACAGTCCTGTAACCGAGGATGTCGGATGCTCAGCCTGGAGGTGGGGGATGGGGATCCCATCTTTCCACACTCTTGACAGTTCAGATTTGGAAAGGCATGCTTCCCGCCATGATCCTCCAGTTCATGTGTCCACTTGGTTCCATTGCTGGAGTTCGGTGATGGTCAGGACTTCCAGGGCTGCAATGCACCTGGTGTCAGTCAGCAAGAGGCTGATTGAGAAACAGTGTGATGGGCTGGGAAGATGAGGTGAGTGCCGTGCTGTAAGCAATTGCCAGTCTAGATCTGCCAGTTGTCCCCTCCCTTGGGTGCCACTTGGAACTAAAATATTGGTGTCAGAAATCTGCTCCAAATTGTTTGAATGCTGCTTTCTGAGGATCAGGGTCCAAGCTTTGAACTTTCAGGTTTTCAGTGTGCTTGACTGTGTAGTCACGCCCGAGAAACAGCACAGAGCTGCACTTTCATGGGGCGGGCTTCAGGTGGACATGCCTCGGTCCTACCTTGGAGGGTCCTGCTGCAGTGTTACATGGGCTCTGAGAGTCAGTGACTGTGTCTGTGGGCTCTCAGGCCTCTTATTAACTTGAATATTTTCCTAGACATTCTGTTGCAGGGGAAAATGCGAGGGCAGGGAAGATGACTCAGTCAACAAAGTGCTTGCTGTGCTAGCACGAGGAGTTTTAATCTAGTGCCTGCTTCAAAGATGGGAGGGGAGGGGTGCTTTGGAAAACTCAGCTTCCGAGTGGGGAGAGAGAGGTGAGTGCCTAGGGCTCACTGTATAGCCATTCTAGTGGAATCAGTGAGTTCCCGACCAGTGAGAGACCCTGTCTCAAAACTTAAGGTGGAGAGAAATTGAGGAAGACGCCTAATATTGACCTCCGGCCTCCACATATGTGCATGGGTACCAGTATGTACACATGTACAACCATGAACACATACACACACATACAACACCATATGCATATTCATGCACACACACACAGAGAGAAGAGAGAGAGAATTGATTAGTAAGTATATGTGGTTGATGATGTAAATAGGCGAACCAGCTCAAACCTCACTGGCCAAGCAAGCATCCAGAAAGCCCTCAGCGATGTAGAGCGTTCATGGTGCTTTTCATCAAGGTAAATAAATCATTCCAGTAGGTGAAGCTTGAACAATTTGTCTCCGATTCCTAGCGTTCTCATTTGTAAAATGGGAAGGAAAGAAGAAAAACAGAGTGCATAGCAAGCGCCTCACAAATATTTGTGAATAAACGGACTGATGAAGTGAAAACAAGAATCCACCCAAGTGTTTACCAAGGGCCCACGGTAAAGGGAGAAGGCTATGGCAGCCACGCTCTGGCGGCCACATGACTTTGTATGGGAGCTGTTAGAGTTCATATCCCGAATGCTACATAGGCTCGTGTGCTGAAGTCTTGGTCCCACCTGATGGAGTTCTG